AAGGCGTATCAAAGAATGTCGGAGGAGGTCGTGGTGGTGGTGGTGGCGGTCGTCGTGGTATTTATGAGCAGGCTGTTCTCCGCTCTGTTCGGTTCGGCTCGGGGTGATTTATCAGCTCTTGACCTGAATACACTAACTGATATAACGGGCAGATTATTTCAGATCTCTTTGCTGAATTTTACATTGTTTTTATTTTATTTGCCTCAGTCTGCAACCATCTGTGCTTGTGTGCGTGCGTGTGTATGAAAATCATTTCGACCAAGTACTTTTTCTGCTGATAGCCTCATCTGCTAGGTATCACACATTTGGTTCTCTAGTTTCGGACGGACGGTGCATTGTCGATCGTTTTCCTGTTCGTAAAAAAACTGCAGCCAACTTGATGTGGTCCGGGCAGTTTTATAATTAGTTGCAAATGTGATCTGTTCGGGCACCAATAACTAGCAAGTCATTATAGTGGGAACCGTAACAAAATACTGAATGACCGGGGTTGAGGATTTCAAAGCATGTGTGCTCAATATTAATTATCAGTTGTACAGTCAATTCTCATTCAGCGGCCTGAAACCAATCGAAGGCTGTCATGGGGAAGATCTACAAATCTACTGTTACGGAAACGGATTGTGTTTTAATGTTTATGGACGGTTTCATGTGACTTCATTGGACCATTCTTCGGATTTCTTCTTCACACGCACTTCATCTGGTCAATTGTGGTGCCGAGAAATTAATGACTGCCTCTGAGGGCCTCATCTGCAAAAAAACGTGAATTGGCTGTCCTGGTTAGCCTTAGTGGTTATCACAGTAGTGAGACTCATGCCTCCCATCTGAGCGTTTCACAGTTCAAACCCGGATGGACCAATGGATGTGCAGCACTTATGAACTCTTAGAACAACGAAACTGAAGTCTACTGATTCCCCACTGCATGGACCATTGGAGCCTCCGATCTATACCCATAGGCACTTACGATTTTAAAATGAAAATCATATATGACACATCACTCATCACAATCAATCGTTGTACAACTATTCAGGAGCAGTAAACGTTACATTGTATTGGCAGTAATTTTGGTAATAATGAGGTTTCTTCCTCGTTTGAACTAGAAATAAAAATAAAAGTAAAAAAGATGGATTTGTTTCGTACAGTTTTATTGGCGCATGCAATGAAAAACTTTGATTGCCCACTGAGAGCGGGGAACAAGATCCAGTTGTAGATTGTCCCAGTTCCACAGGATTTGTTGTTTTTGTTGTTGTTGTATCGAAACGAAAGTCATCGGGGGTGGGGCTATCGTGGGTGGGTGGAGGTGCAACGGGTTGACGGAGTTTGTAACAAGATGGTTCGGGTTTCTTGGTTGTTGTTATTATTGTTGTCAACATGCGGAGATACCAAAGAGTGGATTCGCACGACAAGTTAACCCTGTGGGTGCTTTGCCACAGCATTGATACACACTTCTGGTGCACACCCAGGTATCCCCTCTCCTCCTGAGTGGCAACTTCTGGGTAAGTAGGTGATGTGTGTTTGACAGAGACTGGTCATTGGGGTTCACTCTTTGATATCACTGAACGTGTTTCACTTCAGATCGCTTTGGAAACCAATTAGCCGTACAATGCACTGCCATTATGTGCGAGCTTTCCGCGGTATCGCGACAGGACACAAGCGTACTTGCACGAATAGTGCTGATGTGTGAAGTAGATCATACAGGATTTGCAGATTCGAATAAGGAAGTTCGAAAGTTCTTGTCTCGATGTGACAAGGGGACACTTGTTGCTTCGCACTAACCCTAACCTAAAACATTGTCGATTTGTACATCGCGATTTAGAAATCACGAAAGGAGGCTCCGCCCTGTATCAAATTAAAAACAAATTTTCCATTGATTCCTCCATGAGGCCTTCTTCGTCTTAAGTGGTAAAAACTGCCTAAAAGTGATGTGAATGAGTAAGTATCGGACTTATGGGTTGCTCGGGCATAACCAGGTTAAATGAATAAAACAATCCATAGATATAGTATAGGAAACGTTCTTGACTCACGAACGAATAATGTACGGGCGCTGCTTCAGTTTCGCTGTTTCAATACACCATAAATGGTGATGGCAGAGCAATCGGAATTGACCGCTTTTCATTTCCGTCACAAACGACGAATAATAAGTAATTGTTTTCGGTAATTCTCAATCATGCTGTGATAGAGTTTTAGAGATAATGTAGACCTTCATGTCAGAGTGCAGGAATTGTGTGGGTAGTTTGCGGGACTGCATTTGGGTTTGGGAGACTTAATGACGGGTTAATTCATTGGCTCTAACATGTGACTTTTCCCAAAATACATCAGCAATCCTAGTTGCGAATCTAACAGTATATTAACGAAGTAAACTATTTCCGAATAGCTCGGTGGAATCAAAATTATGATTTATATTCATTTTCACCGGTATTTGTTGCATTTTTCACTTCCTTTCAAGTGTCTGGTGGTCGAACTCGGCTCCATTTTCTCGACTTGGGTTGTGGACGTTACACACACCATACCAGTTCAATCATTTCGATGGGTCTTGATCAGCGGAAACAATCCCGGACACGTTCGGTGCGTCCCAGTGAAAATCTTTCAGAACCGGGCAGTCCCGAAACCCGCGGGCTTAGTGGTCCTGACCCAAATAATGCGAATCAATCTACACGATGCTTGTCATTGTCCGCTATGGCCAATGTTCTGCTTGCTTTGTTGACCGGGCAGCGTCATTTGCCGTTTCGGGATTCTGCATTAACCTACATACTGCGCGAAGCGATGAGCGGGAACCAAGTGCAGCCATGCATTCTTGCTCATGTGTCTTCAAGTACGCAACACTACACGGAAACGTTGCAGGCAAGTGTTGTTCTGTGGCAAATCCACTTATAAATGCAAACAGATTCTTACTACTTATTGAAATATGAGTAGACACGTGAAGATTGCACAATTTATCAAAACATTCGCGTACACAACTGCTTTTATCCCGGAGGGCTTGATGGAAATTTTTTTCGATTATTGCTCTCAGGAAAGCAGTATTCATTGACCGCTTCAGATTGTAAATAAGGAATGTAACTATTTCCTTTCCCTGATAACTTATTCATAGACTTCTAACTGAAACTGACTTCTTTCAGTTGCCATCTCTTTGTACTGAAGAGTGAGTTATTCGACAGGAAAAAAATTCCCTCGAAACACAGAAAATACCTATCCGTAAATACAAGATAAAATAAACTGATCAATTTTACTATGGGTTATTTAATCTGTCACAATCCGAAAATTTCAGGTGGTCCAACTGGCTGCCAAACTGAGTCGTCTAAGAAGGCGTCGTGTTGGTGTACTTGGGAGTGGAGTTCATCTGGCCGAATCGTACGCTTCAAGTCCTAGCGAGAGTACCAGTTTGGATGATACGGCTTCATCCTCAGTCGAAGGAGCCTCCCAGTCAACTGGAAGACGTGAACGTCTGTATCGTCGAAGATACAAAGGACCACGTATGGGCCGTTCTTCCTATGCCAGATCAGTTAGCTCCCTCGGTTCAGACTTGGATTTCACTTCCGGAAGTGAACAATCCTGTGAGACTGTGATCTATTTGGGTAATCATGGCTCTAGTTACACTGGGACCAATGATCCCCGATTGGTTCCTGGATGGAGTCAGATCCATTCGGGCACACGCGAGCACCGGCCAATCCGTCGACTTGGTCCTCGAGGAACCGCGGATGGCAGTGTGGATATGCCAGGCGATGTGCTAGGACAGAAGATGTTCTCCGAGTACATGAACAGTGCTGGGACTTGTCCAACTGTGCTAGAAGATGCACCAATGGAGCGTCGATCGGTATGTTTATACTCACTATCAGTTTTATATCATGAGAGCATTTAATCTGATGATTTGAATGCAAATCGGTCAACATTTTCCTGAATTAAAAAAAAACTGAATCTTTATATTGATTGTTTGTTTATGCTTACAAATAAATTGAGTAGGCATTATCGATCAATGGTGAAGTAAACGTACTGTATTTTCGGTTGGTTCCGCATCTACCTCAAGGTGAGAAGAATTAGAGTTCTACCAAATGTGGCAACACTTAGTGAAAACCTCTGAAGTAATTCGAACCGTTTATTATTTTCATAGTTGGGCCTCATTATCAGTAGTGTTTATCTGTCCTGTCTCTCCCCTTGGGCGGGGATCGAATCAAAGTTTGAAAAGAAGCACACTACTCGTTCAAGCATGGAATAGGAGGGGACGGACGGATTGATTTTTGTTTTACTCACTTATAGTATGACAAATTTGTGCCTCTGAGCTACCGTCTTCACCCATCTTAGTATTTGCTAGCTTCCGATTTGTCAAGATTTAATTCGAACCTGACCAATCAATTCGGGTGGCGGATTCGTCACTTGATTTTTCTTGACACTGTTTATTTCCTGCCACCTTTTCGGTGAGGGATAATTTCTTCACCGAATGGATCATTGAGTTTTCTTGGAAACTTTGGTATTCATTTATTAATTAAAAAGAGATTTAACGCATGAGACCTCATTTGCAAATTTTATTCAGATGCTCGGAGGTGATATTAGTAGATAATATGTCTGATAGCTAATTTGGCTGAGAACTAGTTACCGCGGGAAGAATATTTTGGAAAATCTGAAACAAAGCACAAAAAGCTTCCTGTTGTTATAATTCCACAAGGCGGTGCCTGGACGAGGATAGCTATTTATTACGGACCATAGTAAGGAGATCAATCATTTGGCGTACATATAACAAGATATCTCATTTTGAACAGGTAATCACTATTCCCGACAGCATACAGGTTAATGAATGGAACAGTCNGGAACAGTCCTTAGTAATTATTTGGAACACAGCAATTCGCTCTAGGTGATCTTGCCCATTTGTGACCGTTGAAAGAAACAGCCAACCGCATTTTTTTGCATACTATTCACAAATGTGAGTAGTGATTAAAACACAATGAGGTGTGAAAAACAGTCAATTCTAATTGTGGGAACTAACAAAGAAATAGACTACGTATTGGCTTTTCTCTCCGGAAGTGGAATCCTGGTAAACCGATAATCCAAGTCGTCGACCCTCTTGGATCTAGTTGGAAAAGNAAGTGGATTTTCCATTTTTGGCAAACCTTTGAAAGCAGTCTACTTACACTTCAGTTAGATATAACGTCAAAATGGTGGAAAGCAATGAATAAAAATAACATGTGACTACTAACACTAAAAGTAAAGAATACATGAGACAAATTCAAGTTAATGTCCAGAATTCTGGGTACTTCTATTGATAGTTTTTCCGTGCTGACCAGAACCCTAATCCAAGTGGGTCAGGGTTGATTTTCTGTGTGCAAGTTAATTCTAGTCCGAAGGCACCAAAATTCTGAAGCGGGCAGAGGAGATTAAGAGCAATAATATAACAGGTTATTATGTAATGAACGTTTGAGGTCTTTTTAGTCGAGGCTAAGCCCAAAAACAATATGTTTATTCACAGGTTTAGCAAGAAGAGCATGAATAGAAGGGATAAAAAAACGAATATTATATATACAAGACCAGATAAGAAGCGCAGGAAATTCGTACCAGAACAATCCAGAACTACCGGAGGGGTATCTTCAGGGAAATTTCCAAAAATCTCCCACCGAAATTCCAGAAATGTGGTCGCGGTTTTCGAAACTGCTTGAGTTTGTGTGGTTGAAAGACTGCACACTGAAGTTTTCCCAAACAATACTGGACGTGAGATCCAGATTAGTATTAAAGTTTACCGCCCAGATAATTGTCAGAAATAACTCTGGTTAGGAACTCAGAGAAGGAAGATCAGTTGGAGAGCGAGCAACGACGAAAAGTTATTCATGCTGTTTGGCGTGCTTTTACTTTAGACCAGATTCAGTTGAACAGTTTTCCATGTTACGTGAATTGTTTTTGAATTCCCTCAATATAAGGTGGATCGAAATGACGTGACCAAGGGTAAGATATTGCAGGTGTATCTGAATACCAAGGATGAAAAGTGTACTACGGAGGGGGTGCTTATATAAATGGATATTATACAAAACGGAACGAAACTGCAGCTTGAGGTAATCCGGAATAGTTAAAAGGTGTCCGGAAAATTTATGTTTCTCTTTGGTTTACTGCAATAAATTTAAAAAAATATTTGGATACACAAAAAGGAGATATTTGAACGCTCTAACCTCTTCACGAAGGAGAGATAAGAGTAAGGAATTCAAGGCTGAAGGATGATAGGAAGCACAACCGCGATGGTCGGGTGGTTTGGCTTATATGAACGAAAGCTGGTGATTCTGATTTCGATTATCACCGTCGTCGCCTATTATACCCATTGCAGTACTCCTCAGACATTCAATTGAACAGCCTTCTTTCCGAACATTGGTTGTACATTTATATTTTCAATAAATAAAGCGGATGAAAAATTAAATAATATGGAATGCAAAGAGATTCGTCCATGGATTTAGTGATATCATGAATGGGACAGGATACGACACTCAAACTAAGCCCTAACGATTCAGGAGATACGTTCAGATACGTTTGAAGACGGCTAGAAACAGTCTTTCTAGTGACATCGAATGCGGTAGGCGCAGAGACAGTTGGATGAAATTGACTCTTTGCTCCAGAAGGGTTGTCACTGAGCGGGATATGGAGTTAAATATAACTGTAAGCCCAGAATGGGGGGGGGGGAAATAACATGACAGAAGATTCATTTACACTAGTATTTTATTCTTTTGCAGAGTTCGGGCAGTGGTCAGAACACAAATCACCTGTCTATTGGACCAGTCAAACGTATGATGCCACGCACCAATGCAACCGTGTGGCCTCGTTCGGTATCTTTTCGCAAAGCAAAAGAATGTTTGGATACGAACACCGAGACATGGGTTGACGGTCCGAAAGCAATGGTCACCATGTGTTCCACACCGGTGGTCACCTCGGACAATCCGCTGGATCACGCACAGACCGAGTCCCATCGTTCGAAACTATCCATCGAAAATGCATCACAAATATCAGCCAAAATGGAGGAGGCTACACCTATGGGGATCGGGTTACATGAAACCAGTACTGTTGGTTTTGTACCTTCGTCGGAACACTGGAACAAGGAGGATTGGAACACGCAGTCAATCACGCCATCCGCAATCGATACGCGACTGACTATTCCATCAATCGGTGTACCGAACTACACAGAAAGCCCTTCATCCATTGATGAGGCGTTTGCATTGCTGGCCCACTATGTAAGTTTGTTGTGACTCGTGATAGGTGTGGTTTTGGAAGAGTTAACGATGAGCAAACTGTACGACGGTCTGCGTGAAATAGAAGTTCATTTAAACTCACGTTGTACATATTTGATGCTTAATGAACACAACAGGCCAAACATGTGCTAAACTGTTAGGGCTTTCCCTGATACCCCTATTGAGTAGCACTCAGATTAGACACAGATCTCCATGCATTGCGTTGTTTGATTTGTGAGCCTTCGAACCAATCAGGTTTGAAGAGTTCAGCGACAGACACTCAATTACCTGAGCGGTTTAAAGATCTACAGATGAGTCATTTAAAATGTCTAGTGCACGTAGTAATCAGTATTGGAATGGTACAGTTTCTAACGGTACAGATGCTTGAGACTGGAACAGGATCATTAAGTTTGCACAAAACAAGATTCCGTACTCGCAATAAATTAGAGAATACCAAAAATGTGGACAACCTCATTATTAAGAAGATTGTTTTGACAGATAACTGAATGATAAGCATATGTGTATGAGGCGTGAAAAAGTCACGAGCCTCGATGGGAGTCGAATCAACGTGTGGACGCTGTATACGCCTACGAGTTTGTACGATATACGCTCTGGCGGCTGAACTACAAGGCCATTTCGACAATTCTGATCTGTAGTTCACACTTGATCATGCCCACAACTTGTGGATGGTTAAAAAATGTCTACTTTGGAAATTTTTTTGTAGAATTAGTTCATTAGTTATTAAACAGATGTAAGAATAAGGAAACTCGTAATTTCAATATAATCTAGGCAACACAAATCTCATTTGCAGCTTGAGGAGTTGATTCGAGACGAATAGGCCTCGAAGAGTCATTGCGATTATTCTTTCTTGAGTGTTGCGGGTTAGACGCATATAATCTTCCGGGGTTCCAAATGAAATTTGAGTTGCTTAATTCACATCGGGAGCCCAAGTATACGTAAGAGTGGTCAGACAAAATGTCCCCGGATATGCATACTGGACGAGCGGGCAAGACCGCGAAACAGCATATATTTCTGGGAAATTTTTTCCAGTCATTCAAATACTACTCATTATAAAAACATTCAGTATAATTAATCTATTTGAATGATCACTTGGAAAGTTGATTTTCAATTCTAAAAGGGATCAAATAATGGAATAACTAAAATTTATGTTTACTGTGACAATTATATGAGCATAAAGAGAATCGCCATGGTTCTCACTGATTAAATTCACAGTCCCACAGTAAATTGGTGTGAAGTAAGGACCAATGCTGCTAGGTGTTCACATTTCAGTTAGTCTCTTCAGTCGATATAGTGTAAATAATTTGGTATCTATGTAAGAAATTTTTGGGAAAATAAATGGAGTTGGCGGCCACAACTATGAAGAGGAGGCGCGGAAGTCATTTCGACAACCCATGGTGGCACAAACCTTTGTGCGTTCAGTGCGACGTAACACAACTTTATTAGCATTACTTCACTGTCTGCCTCGGGTTCAGGGTAAGAAACAATAGCTGGAATAATAAAAGTGAATCAACGATGTTTTCAGTTACTAATATATAAATGTCTTGTGCTTGATAAACAGGGATCTTTTTGGGGTAATTTTGCATCGTTGATTTTTGCAATCATGAGAATCCGTTCTGGTAAAAACTGTAGTATAAACTCCTTCTTTCTGTCAATCTAAGTGTTCAGAAAAACGGCAAACGAACTGAACAATGGGAGATTAGGCCGAATCAAGTGATTTGTTGAGACAACAGTTGCTCCGATAAAGTCACTTTGTGTATCGTAACAAAAGAAATAAGGGGACGAAATGTTTGTCTACAAGCGCGATGTCTTTAACTAGATGATCACTCTTGAAAGCCAGTTTAAATGAGGTGCTATTCTTAAGCGCATTGCAGATACAGTAGACCATTGTTCCTTGCTTTCCGGGCACATCGATAATTTTTTCCGGGTAAGTATCACTCAATAACGTCTTTCGGAAGAAAGTATATCCAGTGTAATGACATCTACCTTTTCTCTTTTATACTATTATGGATAAAGGAAATTCAAAGTTTCAAGTCTTAAAACAATCCGACCTTATATGAACGCGTCTGAGGCAAAATATAAAGCCAATAGGAGATCATTTTCTCTCATTTCACAAGTGATTACCTTAAACGTACGGTGACCTCCAAAACGTGTATCATTTTTCACATCCGTGATTTTTGTTGACCTCCACATCTCTGACTACGTTGAAGATAATGCCTTGTTTACACAATCTCCTCTTTCCCTGTTTCTTATCACAGCCTTCAACTGAATCAACAACAAACAAATGGGACTTGTCAAAATATCGACTACTTTCGTTAAACAAATCCGGGACCAGTGCTAATGGGGCTTGTGGCGCTTCGGCGGTGGAAGATAATCTGTTCAGTCTAGACGTTCCAGACTCCTTGTGCCAAAGTGCCAGTAGTTCGTCTACTTTGGAACGTGATGTTGGTCTGCTCCCACGTGCTCTATCAGACATATCGGAACGCACGGAGGAGACTGAAGGATTGCCAGATTGTGCGACCATGCCGAAGAAGCAGACGGGATCGACTATGTTTGCTGTCAAATCTCAAACTCAACCGAACTCTTGTGCACCATGCTTGCGATCCAATTCCCTTGGTACGCATTTGAAAAACAATGATTTATGCATATTTTTAATCGAAAATAATTTAGTTATGATAGGAAATTGTCATATCACACATCTGACGAGTCAATTGACGTGGATTGTAAGCCAGATTGCAGGTTACCACACGAAAATCAGCAATTAGATTTCAACTACTAAAACATCTACAGTAGTATAAGTGTAAAGATATAAAAACATCGATTGAATTGCTTGTGGTTGATGGATAACTTCGAGCCAAGCTGAAATAACCAGGTGTTTGATGATTGTATTCCTTGTGCTAATCAATTGCAGAACCGGTTCGTTCGGTTTATCCAACCGAGGCTTCACTCAAATTGATGGAACTGAGAAAACAAATCCGATCGGCTTCGGGTCAGTCGCATGAGGAACAACCGGTGACTGTCGGCAGCTCAGCACTACCGGTGGTATGTTTAAGGTCAAATTAATAAACACGATGAATTGTTGATTTTTTTCCAGGATGTTTCAGAAAGAAATACAAAATGGATGTAAATCTCTATTCACAGTTACACTGATCCAAACACTTCTTTTCATCTATACATGCGGTTGTAAACGACACGCTAGAGTTAATAAAATTTCGAATAGTTAGGGATTACATTGATCATTGTATCGACGTTTGATTTTTTTCTAACTGTTCCGTTAACTTTAGTTATTGTTTTATTACATTATTCAGTAATTCTGAACGGATACATCATTCATGTCCACAAATATGGAACTTTCCGTTATATTTAAACGTATATTTGTTCAGTCAGCCCCGTGTCTAAAATCGAGATCTGACTGAATTATTGTAGAACTGTTGGTTAGTTACCGAAATATCATGTCTTAAAGAGTAGTGCCATAGATGACAGGTGGCTAAAATTTTTATTAGTTAGGCTGTAACATCAATGTTCTACTCCACTGAAGAATGTTGCTGCGTAACTGTTTTATTTTTTAATATATACCAAAAATAGAGATTAGTTTTAAGTCTTCGAAAGTCAATCCCATTCTTTCCTTATACTTATCTTTTTCCAGGATTACACACGTAATCTGTCACTCAATTCCTCGAGTTCAACCGCAAATTTGGCAACAGCACCAATCCCCATTTCGTCCTCGCCGATGGTAGTTAGCGGGAGCACGTCAATGAGGAAAAATCAATTGTACAGTTCCTGTACAAATTCAGTTGCAGAAAATACCTCCGGTGGAGCAATGCCGGCCAAAGTGAGGTAAGTCTATGAGTGGATTTAACGCTTGACTCTATTGGAAAATGCATCTCTTCCGACCAACTATTTTCACCGACTCCTTCCTGTTGGTTGATGAAGCAGTGCTATCAGTACTTGGCTTCCTACTTAACAGCCACTGATATCAGGTAGCACCAAATAAGAAAGATATCGTTCATTAAATAACGGTATTTCTCACACCGAACTTCACCCAGCGGGTAGATTCGTTCACAAGCGGCACCAGATCCATAGGAATGTCGAATGCAGTAATTTTCACCGCCTATCCTCAGTTAATCTGTGTGCAAACCGACGATTAGTCTTAGTCCCCCTGTCTACGAAATCGCGCATCGATTGCCTCCATATGCTCTTCAGCTCTCACACGTGTAATATCACTTCACAGTAGGATACGTGACCTGTAGCCATCACAAGCTCCAGTGAATTCAAACGTCAGCGGCAGTCCGTTTTAAGTTGTTTTTTTGGGAGGGGGGATATCCATCAGAAAAAATGTGTTCTACATACATCTAGAGCAGGTTAACTTTTGTGAAGTATATCTTGAAACGCAATCAAGCGACCTGGAAAATGTGCTTGCTTTTCTTACTATATTGCGATTACAGAAAACTTGCAAAATTATGCTAGCCTTCGTTTATTCCTCCAAACATTCACTTAGTTATGCTTTCAGTATTATAGGTGGTTTGACTTAAAATAGATCTTGGGTTGTCTTAATGTGATAAAAAAAAGAAGCAAAAGATCATTGTGCTAAAAAGATTGACATGAAAATAACTGAGTTAGTGTGGTGCTACTGTGGCGGTACTGACCACCAGCACATCTTTCTGGAAGTTGTGTGTTCGAGTCCAACCCCACCACAACTGAAACTCTCTTTGTCATGTTCAATTTGATACTTTCCAGCTTTGCCGGAAATTCTTCTTCCATTATATGGAAGTGTGCCATCCTTACCACCATTTTTCATCAACATAAAGAGGTGCATCTTGTGCGTACTAGGACCATAAAGAATGCACTGAATGAGGGGTTACCATTTGAGGCGCAGTTTCCGTGATAATGCTTATGTTTTTTCCATTCTCCTTAGTGCATACAACAACTGGCCATTGTAAGGGTGGTTATGAACCAGTGTTCCGCATTTTATCGCTATTTGTCTATCCGCTATAACTGTAATAATACTACTGAAAAACTATCCGCAATAACACGCTCAGGTTCAGAGGAACTATTCTCGATATTGAACAAATACACTGTACTGGCCACTGGACTCAATCGAAAATACAACTACAGAAATCGTACGCATNGTACGCATCGATCAGCAAATAAGGATCATCATCATCTTACAGCCAGATACAGTGAAGCAAGCTTTACTGATCGCTGCCAAGCGCATAATGTACACAAATTAAGTGATAAAGTACAAGATGGAGAGGGGTTGGACCCGATTTGAGGGCGGAAAAGAAAGTGAACCTTGATGGTCATCACACGGAGTACACAATCTTTTCAAGCATTCTAACCTGATAAAAAATGACAACAAGAATGCCACTGTTGTCGGTTCGCTGCTATATTCTTCAATGTCTTGAACCCACCAGGTGCAATCTTTTGGATACCAACCTAGAAGACCAAAGAGCTCGATGAATTTCTTCATGACTGGTTTCCACGCCATTTGTTGACCTCCACGTGGTTTCTTCCAACCGAAACTGAGGTAGACAATATTTGGGAATGCACAGTACGTGTCCTAACCAGCGAAGCCGACTAATCTGAATTCGATGGGACAACGAATTCTCCATCGGATCATTACCAAATACGCGACGCCTCACCTCAGAGTTGCTTACAAGCTCGCTCCATCCAACCCGAGCTAAACTACTTAAACATTGACAATCAAAGATTTCTAGGCGACGCTAATCTTCCACGCACAAATTTAGGGTTTCGTAACCGTTAAGTAGAACTGACCGCACACTGGCGCAGTATACACCAGCTTTCAGTTTCAACGAAGCATCGCGTCTGTACCAAAGGTGTTTCAGTCCTATGTAGGCTTTTCGTGTTTTGGAAATGCCGGCGGTTACTTCTTTAACTATGCTACCTTCATTTGTCACGCAGTTACCTAAGTAGGAGAAACATTCCACCATAGCTAATTCTTGACCATCAAGCACCAGCGCCGGGGTAGGCGAACCCAATTTTGTAGCATCAATTTGCACTTTGAAGGCGCAATCGCATGCCGAAAGGAGTTACGGAACTTGAAAGTATGTCAAGGGCGCATCCTCCTTACATGCGAACAGACAGACGATGTCGTCAGCTTACTGTAAGCCGCACAGTTTTTCCCCAACTGCCCATTCAATACCAACATTTTGCAGACCACTCAGTGTGTTCTCCAGTATTTCGTCTATGACGAAATTGAACAGGAATGGAGAAATAGGACACCCTTGACGAACACTGCTCCTGGTTTCGAACGATTTACTTAGCCCACCGCAGACCTTCATGCTACCGGAAGTATGTGAGTAGAGTGACCTCAGTATGTTCACATACTTTTACGGCATTCCTTTGCGAAGCAGCGACTCCATAAGAGCTTCACGGTCAGCTGAATCAAAGGCTCCTTTTAGGTCAAGGACCACTGCGATTGTTGGCCTACGATGTGTGTGTGTGACGTAATTCGAGAAAATAAGAAGCACAAAAGCTAGCTTTAGGCTACACTAATCGAGTAAGGTTTGATTGGGTGTGAGAATATTTGGGACACCATAGACTAATGAACCATACATTAAGAGCACGCCCCTAATGAACTGCAGTATTCAAATAAAATGGCGTTGCTCTGGCTCTGGCCAGCCGAAGCTTCCGGTCCTGAATCGTTAGGGCAATCATCCCACCAGGACGCTTTTACCTTAGTCTGCTTGACACATATTGGACGGAATTCCCCCCGCTCCGCAGAACATGATGCAGCGCATGAGGATAATCACACACCCACAATAGATTATTTCATCCTGGAGAAACGTCTTTGAGATCTTTCATCCTCATCTAGTTTGGAATTCTTTGGACCATACAATTATCATCAACCTCATGGTGTAATGAGATACAATGAATCGAATTTAGCTGATTGCAACTAAGTTTATAATTTGCACAATGTAAGTACGATATGGTGACAAACAAGTTTCGAACTGAAATCAGAAATGATTACAGAATAACAGAAGCGAGAAACGGTGCAATTTTTATGGAGACCGTCTATTACTTTGGTACTAGTTTGAATCACCAAATGAGTATAGGTTTTGCTTTGAAGACCCTGATGACCGAACCGTTCGAATGAACGAAATAAAACTGAAATTGATGGGGATAGACGGTTTTAGATTAGAGCTCCACCACCGCTACTCACCCCCAGTGGTAGGCAGTTCTGCTGTCATCAGGTTTAATAGCACGCCTAACTTAGTGGGGCCTTATGTGGTTCGCCACTCCAAATTCTAAGGTTGCGGGTACAGGCCCTCATTACTGAATAGCAGGTCTTAGTGACTATGGGGTCCACCCCGTCTGCTGTTCATCACAAAAATTTATTAAATGAAAAAACAAAACAATAATTGAACGCAGGAACCACTTTTGCGGGCTTCCACCAGATTAGCCACCCACCAGACCGTTATTGGTAGATTCCCAGATGGGGTAGGTGTTTCGTGGTAAGAACCGAGAAACCGGTCCAGTGTTTCTGAGAACGTTTTGGGGGAACTGAGGTTTGCAATTACTTGAAAAAGTGGAACAAAGCTGATTGCGTTTTCAAAAACTTACAGGCGCTCCAATTTTTCGAATTGTTCTTTTTCCCTCAGACATTTAATGCACTCTCCGTACACTTAACGTGAACTGCACTTTTACACAACATCATTCCACTCCAGTCGTATCGACGTGGAATGAGCACGGAATTATCTGATGGCCTCAAGTTGATCAGAGTTGTCACATCAAAGTGGTTAACATGTTGTTTGTGTTCCACACTATTCACTAAAATTCAATTGAATACATCTCTCCGATAGGAATTACTCGAGTTGTATTCACACGACGAGTCTGTCAAATAAGTTCATGATAACAATAATTTGATAACTATTTTGAGTAGTTCGCTTGCTAAACTAGGCATCTCATCGCATTGCATCGTATCGCACACTCACTCACTTCCATTCCCCTAATGAACTCAGATGGGCACGGACGATGATAGTCGTATCGTATATAATCAGAGGGTTGCGCACAACGGGTGGGCAATGTATTTCTATGATCACGTGACCAAGACAAACGTGACACAGTATGAACTGTCACGAGCAGACAGCAATGGGAACCAGAGAGGAAGAAAGAGACAACAGTGAAAGCACCCCGAATCGATGGAATAATGCGAAGATGAAAGAATTCGAATATGAAAAGTAATAGTGTGTTGTTGTGTAGAGTTTGGTAACTTTTTGTAAGAATGTGATCAGTGAAGTGATGACGAACTGGCAAGGTAGAAAAGAATACAGCAACAGAAATAGAAAAGTATGGACGACAGAAATAGGACCTTAAGGACAAGCTCAAACACTATTTCACCCGATAACCTACATTCACCAAGTCACAAACGCTTACCCTCATCTCAAAGGCATGAATATCATTGGCTTACGAATTCTTCTTTACGAAGATAGGCATGAAGTTCCGTGAAATACTTCATTCTATATTTATTTATTTCTACTGGTTGTGAGTTAGAATCCTCCTCCTCCACCACCACAACCACCACCACCATTTACCAGAAGGTAAATTTATGCAAGAGAACGAGACGGGGCCTAGGGATGGAATGGGGCGGCTAGCTGGAGATAAATCGTTTCAATTGACAACGTATGTGAGAGATCCAATTGATTTAATACATCAAGTTTATGGTTCTAAACAAGTCAGAATACGTTTATGATGACTTCAAATCTTGGATCGTCAACTGAACAAAAGATATCCTTTTGTATTCATGAGTGATTAACTTTGTTGTGGGAAAAAATCAATGTATGGTTGTTCCCTTTTGAAATCAATCCTTATTTTTCATGTATGAGGTACCAATTGGATATAATTAAATGTTACTGAGCGGGTTGTTTGCCACTCTTTTCATTCCAATGACCTTGCTATTTCGATTGGTTAATCAGTCGTGATTATGATTGGTCAGAAAGTGCAATCACATATAGTAGTCCAGGGTTTTCTGCTTGATTGGGTAATACGTTGTTTTTGAAACTCTCTTATTGATTACGTCAACATCGAGTAGATGGGACAATAATTTATCCGATTACATGTTTTATTCCCATGTGTTAGTGAACAGAACAAGGGTCCCGAGCCGAATGGAACTACTTTGTCTGGACGAGGTCCAAATCAGGACTGTGCAGCCGTGGAGCTGTCCACATTCGGCACTAACTCACCAAACCCGAGAAAAGAGACCCAAATAAGAAAGACCGAGGAGTCCAAAGCCTCCAGTGGAGTTTGCGCGCCAGCGGCGAAGCCAACTGCGCCACATCACCGCAACTCACACGTGACCGGTGGTAATTCATTGCTACGTGTTGCCGCATGGGTGAACTCGATTGGTCTCTTGAACTCGGAACAATCGGCGCCCGGTGAAGCTTCCGGTTTACCATACACAGATAGTGTGGCACTCAGCCCTGAGAGACCGGTGTGTACAAACGAATCGTGGTTGAGGCACCCCTCCGGTCCGACCGATCTTTCCCCGGAACTCTACCCCCACTGTATGGTTGGAATGTCCACTTTCGGTCGAACTTTCAATTCACCTAAATCGGATCGGATTCAGTTGAGAAGGTCATCGATTAATACGAACCTTACAACTACCACCACCACATCTGCTAGCCCGGCTAGACAGAACAACGTTAGCCAGAATACGGGGCTGGTTCATCGGTGAGTTCATCAGATTATCAAATTAGAACACAAAGTAGGCACTGGGATACAGTGACGTTGATTGAGACGCATACCTCTGTTTCATATGAGATAAGTGATCTATAATGCCGCTATCAAGTGACGTTCTAGATGACCAAATCACTCACTCACTCATTGAATCAAACTTGTAGCTATTCACTGGTCATTGAATTAGACATCAACTAGTATCTTTGAAACGACAGATATATGAAGACCGTAGGCAATCAAGCTGTCGCATAATTGTAATATGTCCGTTAAACCTATCGGCTGTTTATCGAGTTCCATTTCGGTAGTATGAAATTATCCTGAGGAAAATGATATACATTTCATTGAGCGACTTGCTATTATACAGTACAACATAACTCAGTGGCAAGCTTGAATTAACCCATTCGATTGTTCAGAGGTATTCTTGATGGTCTTTTGTGTGGGTTTCACTTCTTGGGAGATCGTTAATTCCCCACAAGTTCATGCATTTACATGCGATGGAAATGTTAAAGTTAACCAACAAAGAGCACTGGACAGCTGTTTCGTCCTGTTTGGGTCTCATCAGCAGTGTGTACTTTTTGTGTCCCTGTCGGGACCGTGTAGCTCGGAGGTAATAGTTTGAAAACCCAACCCGAAAGTTGGCGGTTCGAGTCCTGACTGGGACACAAAAACTACGCACTGTTGACGAGTCCCAAACAAGACAAAACAGCTGTCCAGTAATCTTTGTCGGTTTACTTAAACATTTCCATCGCATGTAAACAACATAACTCACTTTTTATTCTACCATGAGTTCAGATTGTTTATTTTTAGTTGATTCTTGCCTGGTGACCGAACAGGACATACAATACTTACCGAAGTTTGAATGTCAACTATTGCATTTGGGTAAGACGCACTAATTGAGACACTGAAGTGTTATCAAATTCAGCCATCGAATTTGAACAAATAAGCAGCTTCTTTTTAGTCATACTCTCCTCAGTGATAACTAAAGCGATCGATTTAACGTTAAAGCAGAAAGCTGTTATCCACTTTGAAAGTTAATCTAGTTCAACATGATATGTTTGTTGTTTCGTGGCCATATCTTGAGTGATTAGGGAAATTGTGGACGGAAATAGAACAACTATTGTCATTGCGATTACCATTGTCATATTGTGCGTTCATTCCCCCTGCTTCATCCTACTTCTCCCGAAAAATCGCACAGACCGTCTTTACCGATTTCATCACCTTCATTACAATCGGATGTGGAAAGAAGCTCGCCAGTGTTATGGTATAATTCAACCGGACGATACTTTTCACTTGAACCCAGCCCGATACCGAGACGATTCAGTTCTCGACATACGAGTCCTTTGAACCCGTCCCAAATCCAATCATTCTCACCAGTGCATCCTTGGCTGATGAATACCAATAAGAATACTGCAATGAGTCAGGACTCGTGGTATTCCGAAGAAAAACGGCATCAAACTTTCGGCGCAGTTTCCAACTGCCCCATTCCGTTTGCCGTCAACAGTAACTGTCAGGAACCCTATAATCTCTCTGCACCAAATGATTCAATAGACATTCGTTTCCGTGGTCCGCATCTTGTCCCCACTGTATCCCCGATCCGAATTCCCTCAGCCTCCGATCGGAATCCAGGGGAAACAGAGTCAACCAATGTGACCGGTCCATTCGTATCGAGCATAGAAGAACCGAAAGACAAAAGAAAATCGAGACTTCGATTTCTCACTTTGCCCCTGTTTCGTGGTCTACGAATTCGTCATCGTGAAAAAAAGACCAAAAAGGACAAATCTTCATGGACCGCAATCTCAGACGAGGGCTCCAAATCACCAGACATACAACCTGCTCCGTTCGCTTCCACGAATTCACCACCAAATGACCCAATTTCGTATTCCCCTTGTGCCTGGTTTGCTTCAACCCATTCCGGGAGCAACAATGATGGGCCTCAAGCCACACCGTTGGATACATTCCGACCATGTGTTGGCTTATCGACTGAAGCATATCAGCAATTAAGTCCCGCCAGACAAACACAGTTACTGGTTTCGCGTTCTGAAGCATATATGCCTTGTCCGCAAAGTGTCGGAGAAAGACCAGGTCACGGCTGGATTGAGAACCGGGCCATTTTGAGCGAACAGAACCGATTTCGAGAGTGTCACATGGATTCCGGGGGTAGTTGTGCATCACCTAGTCATTTCAATCCACCAGGCTCTCCTTCTTGGCATATGAAGAAGTACGAACGTGATCCACTGCCGAACGATCTTCCCAACAGCTCAGCAGGGCCTATGAGCGCAGTTTGGTAAGTTACACATAGTCCAACATGATACTAAGAATAACCAGGGCTGATGCCAATCGCCAGCTCATGTTTTTTAAGGTGTAGTCTTCAATAAAAGCCAGTCGGTTAACTTCAGTATGAGCTGGTTGACACAATGGTAAAACAAGCCTTCCATGCGATGGGTACGGAGTTCAAATCCCGGATGGGACGGTGGCTATACACTAATGATGACCTGCAATTAGAGCGAAACTCGAGTATGTTGCTTCTGAGTGTATGGTTGATTGGAAAAACTGAGGATTGTGCTTGAAGGTAAAGTCCGAAGGAAAGTCAGTTTAAATCTATATCAATTATCTCACTGCATTATTCACAAGTGACTGAGTTAGAAGCGAATTATTCGATAACTGTTTGGTCAAACAGTCTTCAACGGACTTACCACATAACGAGCGACAATGTGAAACTACTTCCACACACACGCACACACACACACCAACTCAATTGTTTCTCCACATAGACCAATCAAAAGCACCTCCAATTGATACGGTTTCTCTCACCATGTTTTTAATGTTCGCTTGTTAATTGACTTGAAAAAGGCCTTCCAAGAGGGTCGAAAGGTCGCCAACTGAAAATTGTTTTTTTGGTTTTCTCTCGTTGTGACCACTCCAAACATTCCTATTCGGATCTATTGCTATGAGCACGAAGCACAATTTCTTCAAAGACATCCGTTCCAACTTTGGATGTGATACCTTCCCTTCCAGCTTGTAAGGTTTTAAATGACCAGGACCACTCCTCGAGGTATAACTCTAGTATTTTCAGATTATTGGCGAATAGTGATAGTTATTTGAGGAAAGATAGACAGATACAACTCGGACCTCGACCTCAACTCAACTATGCTTTTTATCTCATATTTGGCAAAAAAGAGTTCCCTAAAATCAACTAATGAATAATAACAGACTAAAGTTAATCGATGTTCAACCGATTCACTATAGTTTTCCTTCGACTCCTTGAAGATAAGTTTGCAAAGAGTAATTAACATGGTTGCTTGAGCAAAATACCGCACGCTAATCACTCGATGTCTTGAACTATAAAACTTCGAGAGAGAGAGAGAGAGAGAGAGAGAGCAGAAAACGAAGTGGTCTGAGGTTTATTGATCCCGATTTTTACAGTGAACACGGACTAAACAAATGTTCTCCTCCGGCAGTAACAAAAATGTCTTTGGTTGGGGACCAAAATATTTGCACAATCAAACATTTCTGTAACTTACCCGACAATTCACCCTATTAATTTCAGCCTCCTTTTCAGTTGGATTCGTTTACTTTCCCTGGATCTAAGCATTGATGGTTGTTATTTAAGACCAGAAACATTGGAACCTGCACGGGTATCAATATCCTCTCGCCGCTTTTATGTTCTATCTATTGGAGTTCTTGTTTTGTGGGACCACTGGCGAAACTATGGTCACAAGTTTGGGATTCGTTCCATGGATAAAAAAGAAGTTTTCCTCAGGAGTGACAGTAGTTGAGCGTAACGGTCAAGGTTATAAAATATGAACATTCAAAGTTTTGTATTTGGGCCGGATAGAAGACTTCGATTACACATCACAGCGAAGTAGGCTGTGGAGAGTAGCCCAAATATTACTACTACTACCAACAATGCTTTACCATTCATTTAATTATTGGATATGCAATGACACGACTTTATGACCATTGGTTGACTTCCATAGATTACGTTGGTTGGGACATGTGGTACGCATGTCACCAGATAGGTTACGACGGTGAGCGATGCTCGCTGAAGCAGATACTGAGTGGAAAAAACGAAGGGTGGTCAAGCTAAGACCTGGCACGANGGTATGAGAGCCCTAACCAGGAGAATGGGTCACATAGGTCCTGTTAGGCTCCCTGGCTGGGGACCACGGGATGATCGTATCCGATGGTTAGAAACACTGAGTGATATGGTTAGGTGTCGCAAACAGTGGCGTTCGTGCATCTTCTCAATTTCTTTACAACCTTAGACCACTGAACTTCTCCATTTTCTGTTCGACTCCTATTTTCAACTTTTCTTTCTCCTATTCTTCATCCAAATGGTCAACCAAAAGACAGCAACCATAACCGGCGCACGAATATGCGTGGTTAATGGTTGTACAAACTGAAACTGATGACGAGGGGTTTTCCACCATCTGGGATAACTCTGTAGTTGGGCGAGATTAGGTCTCTACACCACATAACAGAATTCTCTCTCCCCCTCTCTGCGTGAAAGATATTCTGTTGGGATGGTCACTAAACGATCTGTCGACTAAGGTTATCTTTTTTGGATTCAATGGATTCATGTAATAACTCGACAAACCAAGAAAAACATACAAGGTCTCGATCCTAGCTAGGCATCTGTATACAAAAAGCTAAAGGATCTAATTCA